GGGAAGCTCTTTAATATTTAGTGGAACTCTTGAAGGTTTCAGCCAAGGGCTTGTTTGTCAGCTCGCGGAACAACTTTGCGTACAAACGGCTTTGGTGTTCAAATTATTTAGGACACAGCTTGGTGAATGTCCGCTGCGTGCGCCCCAAAAAATATTCCTCACACTGCCCTTACGCATGGATTACAAGGGGTGGCCTGCCAAATATGGCACTTATTATATCGCAGCCCTCGGGGAAACACCCCGCCCCCTTACACTGTGCTTACGGTGGGTTCTGGAGGGGGGGGTAGCATATATATATATATATATACATGTGTATTTATCTATCTATTTATTTCGTGGATTCATGCTGGGATTGTTTGACTACATTGGAATTCGATTTGCAACGGGAACTTCATGGCGCTCGCAATATTCATGGAATGCTGATTCCTGGGCACTTGGCAGGACCTGATTCCAATGATCATATCGCCCCAGGAAATGATTCCCCCAGCGACTTGTAACTTGTAGGGTAATTATAAGCGAAGGAAGAAGAATTTAAGGAGACTCTAGTACTTGAACCGGTGAGTATAAGATGTAGATACGCAGCCTCCCGCCTGTATTTGTTGCAAGGTAGCAACTTTGTTGACAGCTTCTGTTGTCCCTCAACTGTCCGGGCTTTCTGCAAGCTCACACCAATGTCGATTGCAGCGCGTTAGCAAGCCTTATTATTAACTTGCCAGAGTCAGCTGCAAATTCAAGCGATGTCATGCTTGGGTCGCTGCATGGTCTCCACTCTCTGCATGCCATTGGCGCCATCGGCCGCCTTGTCACCTAAATGCCCATGTTTTCATGCGAGTTCAGAGCACCCGACCTTTCATACAGCGCACCTGGGCCTGTGCCCACGTGCCACAGGCGCAGCTCGTCTGGCGAGATGTGTCCGTCGTGGTTCCTCATCAGCCAGTTCTGCCGCAACCTGACATCTACGTACATCTTGCAGACGAGCAACACATCGAGGACGCTGAAAGCGTCACGTCGCTTCCAGGACTTGAGCTCATCAGGACCTTTGCGAGAAGCACCATGAAGACTTGCTAAAAATTGGCATGGCAAGAAAGAAAAGGCAAGCGGTCCCTGCAAGCTCCGAGCTGATTTTGCCATCGTGGTTCATATCTAACCTGAGCTCCAGTCCATCAGCACGTCAAGTTCTCCACGAGTACTTGCAATCTCTCGGTGCCGCGCGCATCAAACTTGTCGAAGGCCGCTGGCTGTGCAATATGAGACAGACCTGAGCACGTGAGCCCAACATCCAAACGATGGCCAGGCCATTTTGCAAGTCTTGGCTGATCAGGGTGCCCATCGTCGCAAGGCTGCCAAGAAGCTCAGAGCAGAAGCTTTCTTCGCTGTCAAGACATTCGCGAACTGCGGGTTCCACTTCTGAAACTCCTTCATGGAGAGCTCGCCGTCTCCATTCCGCTCTAGCCTTGCACCAGAGGTCGGGACGATGATCTGCCTACTCTAAACCTATCTGAACCTGTATGGCTCTAGGCCATTCTGGGCCCTAAGGTCTCCAGCACTTGTACACTGTAGCCGCAGGGCATTGTGAAGTCATCCACCGGCTTCCAGCTCTTCAGCTCATCTGCACTGAGCCGTCCGTCGCCGTTTCTGTCCAGTCGGCCTTGACAGTTGATGCATTTGTCTGCTATCATTGCCATCATTCGCTGTCATATGGTGTTCCTGAGAAAACACAACACCCGAACTTGGTGGAACAAAGTGCAAGCTAGTGCAAGTGGCTGAAGTCATCGTGGCTCTTCGATGAGGGCTTTGTCCTGCTGCATCGAACTGTCCATGTCACTGGCTGCAGAAGGCTCACGAGGCGGAGGTGAACATATGACTCAACCCACCCTGCACTGTCGTACCTTGTGATCTCTTCCTGACCTCAGCAATCGGCAGGCTTGCCGGACCCCGCTGCGTGACAGGTGGCCTACTTCCGAGCCTGAAGTTGCCCAGAGTCCCGGAGGATCCCGGATGTATTATCGTCTCCATGCTGTCCCAGCAGCTGGTCTCAATCACGCTGGCATGCGCAGCACCTTCCGCCACAGCAGCAGCAGCGGTAGCGGCGGCTATCTCCTTGGCCTGTTGGGCAGGAAGCCCAGCAGACTTGGCTGCCTGCACCTTGTGACGAGCTGAGAGGATACGCACAGAGCACGAACGTATGAAGTTACTGTTGTGACGCTTCAGATTCAAGCATTACAAGTTACCCAGCCCTTTGGGGGGCTCATGCGAAGACACAAAAAGGAAATCAAATACGAAGTAGGCACAGGGTGAGGGAGGCGACGGATAAGGCGGGTGGCGGTTCGGGCAAGGCGGAGGGGGGAGGGGGGTGGAAGAAGCAGGGTCGAAAAGTGGCGGAGTGGGCCAGATGGGCAGGCGGCAAGGGACTACCAGAAGCCGAGGAGGAGAGGGGGCTGAGGTCTATCCGGGAATTGGCAAGATTCTGAAAGTTTAACTCTTCGGCAGGAGCTTCTATATATATATACACGTATATATATATATATATATATTTGATATATATATATATATACGTATATATATATATATATTATGTACATATAATGGGTGGCTTATAAGAAAACTAAATGTTCATATAAGAACATCAGGGTCCTAACATGTCTAGTAGGATTTGCTTCTTTAAACAACAATGATATTCTGGAGTCTGTGCTGTTTGATTTGTATTGGCCCAGAGATATTGCGATATACTAGTTGTATACCGGAACAGATCTCAGTAGAGCAGAAATACTGAATCCACATGCAATCTGACAGAGATATGGGGGGAAGGGGAAGTGTTGCCTTCTTTGCTGTCGAGGAGCTGTGGCCTCAGCGGCCACCACAGCAACTTGCTTCTCCTCCAATCCTTGCACTGCAGCTGCCCTTCCAGCAGCGGACCCTGCAGCAACAGCAGCAAGATTGGCTGCCTGAGAGTCTGGGCAATTGACGGGTACCAGATGCCAGGCAGGATGCCCTAAAGAAGAAGATGCGATTGCATGGCAGAATCAGGGCACAAAACCCGTGCGCAACGAAATTGCATTTCACTAGCAAAACTACTGGAAAAATGTTGCTTAGTTTCCCAGCCTTCGGGGGTGGCAGATTCAGGGACAGGGCCACTTGCTGCGTTGCCGTGGCGGCCGCCCGCTCCACTTGTGGCTGGTCGAGGCCGGCGCTTTGGGCGATCTGCTCCGCCGCGTTCCCCGCCGCCGTGGCCGACAGAACCTTCCTCACCTCCCCGGACAAGCCCTTCACTAGCTCCGCGAGGCTCGGCACAGCTGCCACCCCTTCCGGCACGTTTTCGGTGTCGAGGAGGAGCAGCTGGTCTTTTTCATCCTTTTCTGGCTCTTTCTCTGCAGCCTCCATGACCGTTTTCAATGCCTTGGCAGCCAGCTCGGCAGCCTCCTGCGTGTTAAGGAAGAACACCTTCTGAGATTTGGCTGCAGCGCCAGCAGCTGCATAGACAGCAGCTGAACCCACCTGTTCAGGCGTTAGGGATAAAGCCAAAGATGCCCGGAGAGCAGCTTTGACAGCCTTCTGCGTGAGAACTGCTGGCGCATCGATGCTAGCAAAGCTGAAGATTGCGGTGGCAGCCTTGGACCCAACCACCACAGCGACCTGTTGCAAACTCATGCCTGCCAGTCTTGCAGCCTTACCAGCCAGCTTTGCAACAGTCACAGCTTCATCAAAGGAATCTTTCTGTGAGTGCTTTTGCTCCGCAGCATTCTTTGCTGCCTTGCCAGCTTTAGCTAACACGTCAACAGGGATTGCAAAGCTAATGGCTTCGGCCACAGCGGCCTTTGATGCCTCAACTGCCTGCAACGATGTCATGCCGGCCGCCTCTGCGGCAGCCAGAGCTGCCTTTGTCGCCTCTTCTTCCTGTTCCTGTTCTTCCTGTGGCTCGCCAGCAGAATCCACCAGCGCTGCAGCGGCCACAGTGGCAGCGGCTACACCAGCTCGGACATTGCCCAATCTTGCCTTCAAAGCAGCCTTCTGAGCATGCGCCGCTGCTTGTGCAGAGAGCTCATGCCTCTTCGCACTGTCTCTGGCACTGTTGGCCGCTGCCATGCCCGCTGCCAACGCAGCAATTGACTGCTTCTCAGGGGTTGACTCTTCTTGGAAGAGCTGCCGCACGGCGGCATCTGCTGCAGAAACAATCTCGTCAGTGCTCATGAAGCGTAGATCCCCGGACCGAACTGCTGCCTCTCCTGCTGCCTTGGCAATTGGTAAAGAGGCTTCAGTCGCTGTCAGGCCCATCTTGGCCGCTGCTTGCAATGTCGACCTTGCCGCCAATGACGCTACTTCAATCACGGACTTCTTAGATCCTGCTTCTACAGCAGCAGTCGCGGCCTCAGCGGCTGCTACAGACAAAGTTTGTCTAGGAGTGAGTTGTGTGCCCACGGCTTTCTTTGCAGCTTCCATTGAAGCGTCGACTTGCTGCGTGGGACTGTTGTTGCCCAGCTTCTCCAAGGCCTCAGTGGCTGCACCAACCGCGGTTCTGATTACCTCTTTGCTAGTCTTTCCTTCAGAAACAGCAATCTTTACAGCTGCTTCTCCTGCCGCAATCGCGCTTTTCTTGACGGCCTCTTTGGGATTTGCTCCTGTGTCGGTGGCAAACTGGAACACGGCCTTCGCTGCCGCTGCAGCTACCTCTGGGGTACCACCACCAGCCTCCCTCACCTCCTCGGCGGCCGCGGTGCCTACAGCTGTGCTCGCCGTGTCCACGACCAGCTTCGGCTCCACATGGGCCTCCTTCAGCGCTCGTTCCGCAGCTTGCGCGGCACTCTCCTTTTTCTGGGTACTGTCCATGGTCCCCGAGCTCTTGGAGATCTGGGCATGCTTTGCGATCACTTGCCCGGCCGCCTCGGCTGCAGCCTGTGCGGCCAAGGCGGTACTCAGCCCTGAGTCGATTGCAGCCGAAAAGGCAGCCTTGGCTGCAAAAGCTGCCGTCTCTTCGACTTCCTTGGAGCTCACCAACGCCTTTTTTGCAGCCGTTTCGCTGGCAACACTGGCCGAGCGAACCTCCGCCTCAGCAGTTGTAAGCCCCGCAGCTTTGGCAGCCTTCAAAGCGGCCGTGGCCGCTGCTGCTCCGATTGTGCGCGCCGAGCTGCCCCTGCTCTCCTCCTCTTCTGCTGCAGCTTCGGCTGCGACCTCAGCTGCGGCCGTTGCCGCAACTGCCTTCGGCAGCCCTGCAACCTTGGCGGCCTCTAGAGCTGCCTTGGCGGGTGCATTCAGGGGCTTTCTTTCGCGCCCTAGCTCCTGGCGAAGAGCATCCCGGACAGCTGCCGCTGTCTCACGCACTATGCTCTTTGCAAGCTCCTTCCAGCCCTGAGCTTCATCTACAGCTTTCTCTAAAGCTTTCTTAGGGGCCTCCTTGATCTGGTCGACTTCCTCCTTCGAGATGGCGCTTTTCGCAGCTGGAGATGAAGTTGTGGTCTTGCTCTGTGTGGCTTTTTGTACTGTGGGTACGGCCTTTGGCTTTGCCTGAGGCTTCTTTGCGGACAGCACTGGGCCACCATCTGCCTGCTTGATAAACTCTATACGGGAAAGGCGTCCGTCAGAGTCGGTATCCAGCAGGTGGAAAAGCGGAATTAGCTTTTCACTGGTCTGCCAGTCGCGGGGATAGAACTGACGAGCCGAGAACAGGAACTCGTCCTGTGAGATCCAGCCGTCACCATCTGCATCCGCGGTGTGAAAGGCTGGAGAGAGCCCAAGCATCTCTTTAGATCCTCGCGCTGCAGTGACAAACTCGGTGCGTGAGATGCTGCCATCCCCGTCACCATCCATGGCTTCGAAAATGTCAGCCAGCGATGCGCGGCTTGCAGGACTGTTTCGGATGGCGCCGGCAATGAACTCTGCTCTAGAGAGGCTGTCGTCATAATTCGTATCCAGCAAGTCGAAAGTCTGCTCGATCACCACAGCATCCGTGTCACCGGGATCTCGCTGAGCTTCGAAATCCATGTTCTTATGCAAAGCTTTGTGAATTTCTGGGTGCGGGGCTCCTGCCTTCTTCTTCTTCCTGAACAGGCCACCACTTCCAAAGGGATATGCAGCATCTTCCAGCTGCAGCATGGCCAGGTTAGGTCCACCACCTGTATGGGTCGATATCTCGCAATCAAACTTCGGTCAAGTGAACTCCCATACATTGGGCTCGTTTGAGCTGCACCTTCACTCACCCTCCGCCCAACCCCTCCCCATGCCTCGAAGCTTCCATGACTCACCCGCGCAGAACAAAAAGCTCTGAAACACGAGCACCCATGATCTCATTCGGCGCACACGCCTTGCCATGACTGGCGGCAAGAGCAGAAATGTATCTTTGCCAAGCTATGGCGCATGCACGGACCAATACGAAGCAGTCTGTCGCACATGCAGTCAGCACCGTCAGGGTCCAATCCCAGCTTTGCAAGCGATTGGATCTAAGTTGCAGCTATCTGCGGACGCGCGGCCTCGATGTTCGAGTGTCTGCTCCGTGCCGGCCTCAGGTATGCTTTGATTGTGTAGCATGTCCATGAATAGCGCTACCACCTGTCAAGATCTGGCGTTGCATCTGCCCCTGGGCTGTTTTTGTTCCTCTTCTCTCATGGGCTCAAGTGGCTGAAGCCGGCGCAGCGTGAGAAGCTGCACTACAGTTCGGAGGTGCCCAACCTGATGCAAGCGGTCTCCAAGAGTTCTCATGATGCATGCCAACGAAAACTCTGTAAGGAGACTTGAGTCTGAGCGGCAAGCATGTGCTGGGCACGAGCGGACCTATGGGACTCTGCAACAGCCCGCTTGAGCATCAACATCCGATCAGGGGCAGTCATGCAGAGGGTTACACCACCCATCACATACATACTGACAAACTGGCACGCAGCTGAAAAACTACTCTCGAGGTACTACAGTCCACAAACGGGCGGGCAGATCTAGTGCCAGACTTTATTTTTCCCTGGACGATCGGCCCACAGGCACCGACTGGAATTCAATCGGTTCGTGGGGTCAGGGCAGCACGGAAGGCCTCACCCAAACAAGTTCCAGCCTGGACAGCACGCATTCTTCAGGAGTCTCGAGCACAGCCTACCCCTTACCTCCTCATTCCGCGCTTCTCAATGCTATACGATCTCTGCTTTCTCCTGTCTCGCAGTCTCGCCTGCAAGCACGCTTGACCAGGTACCTGCCGGACATGTGGCAGTGAAGAGTCTCCGTGTCCGGGGCTCCAGTCACGATCAGCCAGTGGGTCAACAAAGGCAGTCAAAGGTCCCTGGCCTCATCCAGCAGCGTAGCCTCAGAAGAAGTATACACCGGGAGTCGGGCCATGGCCTTCGAGGACGCATCTGCTTCGCTGCAGCCAAGCTGCCGTGTCCCTTGTGAACTTCAATACCTCAGGTGCCCAACTTTGTGAAACGGACACAAACCTAGAGGCACAGGCCTCCGATCTCTTCCTACAAAGCAACTTGTTTTGCCTGTCGAGTTTGCTCTGCTCGACAAGTCCAACATGACATTAACACGAGCGGAGTGCCGACTGGAGGCTGGGCATGTCACCACGTAGTCCTGAATCAGACATGTATCTTCTATGTTGGATCCCAAGCCCTTGTTTTGAGCTCACCGACCTCTGAACCCTAGTTGGAAGCAACGAGCTCAGAGCACAACTTCGTTATTAACTGATGGTCCACCTCACAGCCTTGCGCAGATGAACCCCCTGCTGTTTCAACAGCACTCGCTGGCAGGCACTTAATTTGCACAAGGTTTGCTATAGTTTGCTCAATTCGCGTCCGAGCACGAGCTTCGGAGCCACATTCTTGTAAGCAGCACCTTGCATCACATCTGACCCTCACCCTCTGTTCCTGCAACCCAAGGGGTACTTCTATGTTTTCCTAGACCCGTGGCAAGTGCCTTGTCATTTGTCCCACTGCGTCCAGGCTGCCAGCCACTGTGGATCCAGTGGCCCACGCCACTTGCGCAGAGCCGCCTGGTTTTCAGTAGCTCGTTTTCATGAAGGGTGTGTAGGGGGGAGCAAGAGCCATGAGAGTTGAACAGCAAGACATGACAATGCCATGGCAAGAAACCCTTTCGGATAACAACTTTGTCAATTCGACAGGTACAGGTACACCATATTACACCATTAAACAAAGCATGTCGGATGTGAAAGAGGACCGAGGACCCACACCAACGAGAACCGACGACCAATTTGATGGTGCAAAGGCCTGTAGCAAGAACTGTTCCGACCCTGAAGCGCTGTGCTGAAACTATTGCATGCATCTGCCTGCGGATCCCACTTGACATCTGGCTCCTCCAGCAGAGGCAAAGGAAACACCATCTCTGGACCCTGAGAAGGAAACTCAAGAGAGCTCGAGCCCAAGAGCCAAGGCATCCCAAGGCCTCCATGTGCCAAAAAGCCGTGTCATCAGCCCGGATCAATACCATCTCCTCTTTCCAGATTCGCCGGAACTCTGGGTATTGATCCTAAGAAATGCCAGGAAGATGTGGAGCTCGCAAGCACAGCATGCGAAGGCGGGACCCGCAGCTGATAGTAGAGAAAATACTCGTGAGTGTCCGAGTGTCCTCATGCTTTTGAGCCTGCTTGAAGCCTAGTCATGGACGGCCACCTGGGTGCTTCGATCTCGCGTGATGCTCCCTGATGCATGTCTTGTGATGCAGCCGAGCATCAATGAGCTTCTTGAATGCCGCGTGCATAAGGAGATAGTTGCGGAGATCCTGCCCGAAGCGCTTCAAATGGCTCAGGTCGACGTTCTGGAATAGCGGATGATCCGGGACCCCTGGTGGGTCGAGGAACATGGACATTGCATCAGCCCTGGCCACAGGATTTGGACATCTGCATAGACATGCGACAAGCATAACGCTTTCACTCCCCCATCCTCGCTCACTCCTCCCCCCCCCAACTTGTTTTTTCTGGACGATCCCAGCCTCCTCCTCTTCTTCTTCCTACCCTCTGCCATCTCCCCTTCCTCTTCTTCTTTTCCATTTGACCTTCTTTTGGTGCGCCTTCGCTGTGTTGCTTAGTTCGTGGGCCTTCGCTTAGTGTGCGGTTGTTTTGCTTATTGGTGCGTCTTCGCTTGCCCTGCGCGGTCGTTTTGTTGACTGGCACGTCCTCGGAAACATGCGTTCGTAAAGAGATCAATCTAAAGCCCCAAGAGCTATCCAAACCACGCGATCGGGAGAGACAATTTTGAGCTCAAGATCACCGCATAACCCTTAAGTATACCTCACATGTCATATTGATGGAATCAATGCTTACTCACCCCCCACCCCCCACGCCCCCACCAAAAAAAAAGACTGCACAATTCAATCGTGACCTCTCTCGCTTCTCCGTGAACCGTTCAATAGTGACCCTCGCCCCCCTTGTCCTCGAAAAAGTCAATCAAAAAGACAACTCTGATAGCCCTGCCTTGTCTTGCTGTCCCAATACCCTCAGATGCTGTAGCTCCACATCAGGAAATCAATGCCCGGTTGGATCTTAGCCACTGTTTGCAGCGCAAAGCTTTCGCACAGGCACTCGTGCTGACTAGCTCATCTGGTCCCGTGCCAGAACCTGTCTCGGCCTATCATGAATCATCCAGACAAGTTTCCGTTGAACAAAGCTTTCCAGGCCACAAGCATGGGATGTTGGCGGCGAGCAGCCATGACCCAGTTCTCCACGAACTCCTGGTGTTCGCGCCCAGCTTCTGCCATCCAATCTATCTTACAGAATGCCCATGAAATCCCTCAAGCCCTCCCGAGGTCCTTGCTTTTGTGCATCTCACACCCCCATGCTGAGAAATAGAACGCCTTAGAGCTCGGCAACAGCATACTCTAAGTTTTAAGGCAATCCACGCTTTGCGGAGCCTTTGCAGGCTCTAATGGACAGGCGACGCCGATGTCCTCAGCAGCCCTTTCAGAGGAGATGGTGTTGTACATCCACTTGTCAAAGGGCTGGAAGCAAATGGTCGAGGCATCAATCCACAAGCCGCCGTACTTGACAAGCAAGGCGAGCCTGAACGCCAGGCAAAGGTGTACACGTTAACGATACACCCGGTGCTTTCGTACTCCCCGTCGTCACAACATTATTTTGAAAGGACGGGCCTCACTGCATCGGCTTGCCAGGGAACATACATCTCTGGCCAGAGTCTTGGGAGCTCCTTTGGCTCAAGGTACTCATGGACATTGCTTTGGTCCAGCACCACTATCCTTGGTCCAAGGCCGATCCATGCATGCCAACGGGATATGTCGGGCCTACGGATGCTTCAGTTCTTGGGAAAAGTCTGTCGAGTGCAGACGAGCGTCTTCCAATGCGGATTTTGCACGGCCCAGGTTTCCATACACAGGCGCCGGAAGTCTGGCAGCTTGTCCTAGTCGGCTCTGGCAAACGCCAGAAACCTCTGTCGACCAACTAACTGCCTCACTCGTTTTGCTTTCCCCGAAATCCTTCCCCTTGTCCCAGAAAGACCACGCGATGCGCGGGGCATCACTGATCTCCCGTCCAAGGCTTGCCAGGTGCCGCCAGCTCCTGCAAAGCATCACACCATTGCTTGAACGCTTCTGAAATCCTCACTGATACCGATGGAATCGACGGGCCAACGCGCCAAGTCCCCCTAGGCCCTTCGGCTGGCAGTACACTGGCGCAAGCATACGCGCCAAGTTTCGACTCAGGCCTGCTTTTCCGGACATGCCGCTGCGACAGTTGACGGCCCAGAAGGTTGCGTGGGCACCCAACCAAAGTGCAATGTGGCGCAGGAGAAAGAGCGAAGAGCACACCGAGGGCAGCAGTGCAGCGCTGGCAGGTTGGAGCCATCACCCGCAACTCTAACAGAACATGTCTTAGTATCAAGCTCGACATGATCGGTTGGCAGTGCCTGTACAGATGAAGGTGACCACGCCCGAACATTATTAGCTCCAGGGAATAATTGCTCGGAGCTCATCTGGAGTTGAGGGCTCTGAGCCTCTGAGCAGCTGCCAGTAGATCGTGCCGAGCCTGTTGTAAATTTGAAGAACTGGCACTCAAAATTCCACGGTGCGCTCAAGTGCGCTCAAGGAGTCGTGCAAGATCTTCTTTTCATCAAGCAGTCTAGCCGTGCGAACGGGGAAGCACGTAACCACACTGAAACTCGCCGGATGACACGCGGCCATTCTCGACCCTAAATTGCCTACACTGGCCTGGCAGAGGCCGTCAAATGACAGCGTGGCCACACTCTTGCACAGGCTCAGGAAATATTCTGAGAAAGAATCTGAAAGGATCCCCTTGCACAGCTCAGCTGTCTTCCACAACCATACAACGCCATACAGGTCACAAAACTTCTAATAATCTTATGCGCACAGTGAGTTGACAAGTTCCATCAAGACAGCAAGGCAAACTTGTCGGCACCCATCCCTTCGGGACAGCGGTGCTGAGGCTGCCAAGATTTGGCACCTATACAAATACCATCCAAGCACCCTCTTTTGCGACTACGTTTAAGTCAACTTCTTCAACCCCCCCTTCAGGGAGACGCCTTAGCCATCCAGGCGCTCTTGGATACTTCCCGGAAGTTTCAGGTAACCGGGTGCATCCTGGCCGGGCCACATCACGAAATTTCTTCTCTCCATGGAATTGAAGGATGCTAGGGGCATCCTCAAGCTCTCTCGGGCCCATTCGCAAGCGCTGACTTCTCAAAACGCGGCCTCCGACACGATCAGGAAAGGGCTTCCAGCAACCCCATCTACCTCCAGCAGGAGCTGCTAAGTGAAAAGAGGAGCCCTTGCACATCTTGCACAGCATCTCAGGATCGCACCCGAGTTTTGGGAACGGGGCCGAAGCCACGGGGCTCTGCAGCCTGGGTGCACTGAGTGCACTGAATCTGTGCTTCCTGCGGGTGCGATGGTACATGAATGAGCTGTGGGACCGTGGATCTGATCCCCCCTAAGCTTCGAACTGCGACTTGCAGCTGCGAGGCAGATATGGCCCCGGAGGATGATGCCCCAGACCTGCCACAGTGCTGCTAGAAATTCCCCACCATGCAAACCACACTCACACACAGACGCCCTCTGGGCCTGTAATTTGGTGGTGGCGCAGCCTCAGAGGACAAGTCTGCCAGGGGAAAAGGCGTGAGGTCAGTGCCGGTCCCAGAGCTTCCCTGCAGATGCTGAAAGGATCTGAGCCGGAGGCCAGGCGGCTGCGGGAAACCTCCACAGTGACAGGGGTAGCTTGATGATGTTAATGCACGATCCCCTTGCTTTCATGTGTCCCAAGTCCCCGAAGACCCAAGACACCCTACATAAACCTTTCAAACCCACTTCAAGTTTGAGGTCCGCGCTTCTTCTGACCTGGGTGCGCGCCATTTTCGTGTTGACTGCTTCAGACCAGCGCACAGGCTCCCCCAAAGGCAAAACGATCACACCTGCAGTCTGCCTGCGGTCGAGGATCGGTGGGGCACCGAAGCTCTCCAAGCCTCCCCCCTGAGATGCGGGATGACAATGGATGAAACATGAACGTTCAAAGTTCAAAACCAAAACGAGCTTAAAGGGGGTGGCTCGCCGAAGCGGCTTCGGGCAATGATCAGGTCTGGCGGTGACTAGCGATGAGGGTCGGAGTTTGCACTCGGTGTGATTTTGCACTCGGTGTGTGCGCATGGTGGCCAAAGCTGACCTGTCTTCACAGCGTTGCCAGGGCTTCTGTTGCAGAGGCTTCAGGAGGGCTATCTGAGGCCCCTGCCAAGGCATAGGAATTGTCAGGGCTCCTCCGTGCGGTGCGCAGTTTGTGCCACGAATCGATGTCGGAGTTGCTGGTCGACTTGTTGCGTGTCCCCCCCCCCCTTGCCGCCCAGGCACATGACGCCACTCGCCTGGCCCTTACATGTTGAAGTTCTCAAGAGATTCTTATCTACAAGTCTGCGCGTCTGCAAGCTACCAGCGTCTGTGCCAGGTTTTCTGATTCCGGGCGTCCGGCCCGAACGAAGCCTGTCAGATCTTGCGGCGGTTCGCGCTTCCAGACATTTCCAGACTTTATGCAACATTCTCCAAGCGACATATACTTGCAGCTCGAAGTTTCAGCCCGCCTGAGTCAATCAGCCGTCTGCTGCCACCGCGGTACGCCTTCGCGCATGCGGCCGACTTAGGTGAACATCTTAGAGCATCATTTTGCATCTAGAGTTTCTAGAGTTGACAATCTCTTGCATGGCTTGCACAAGCCGAAGAATGTGACTGGAACTGTGCAGAACGGGTCAGATGGCTGTGGGGACAAGACCGGAAAGAGGGGTCGCTCTGATCATCCCCATCCCGACAGCCAAGAGATGCCAAGAGCACAGCTGAGGACAAACTGTAGCGTAGTGAGACATCATGTAGGCATCACGTCTAGTCTGGCCTGCATGAGGCAGTTTGTGACCTGAACAATCACAAGTCACTCCACATGTGTTGCGGGAAGGCCATGGCTTTGTGGCAGGGGATTCTGATAAGGAGCCGGTGTGGACGGATTGACTTAGATTGGGTGCGCGACGCTCATGCGAAGATATTCCTCGGACTCGGCAGCGAGTCCCAGCCTAAGATTCAACTTGTTGGACTTGACTCTCGTTTGCACAGGTGCACCTGTGACAAGCTTGTCTTCTGCGATAGGTTGACTCTGATCAAACAGGTTGGGGCGGATCCCAGAGCATACGGTGCTCAGCGACTGTACCCTGCCGAGCGGTGAGACGTATCGCTCAGGCCTCTCGGGACTCTTGAGAGTAGCACACATGCTTACATGAGCTATGAGCTCTCACGCATCGTTTCTACCAGAGGTCTGAGCAAGCTGGCATTGCAGCTCACTTATCTGCAAGTGCAACTGGGTGCTGCATATTGCTGTATGCCGCTGTACGGCACAGGGCTCTCAGCTTGGCAGGGCTGAGCGAGACAGGGGCGAAGCTCGTTGCTCACGTATGCACAGGGCTACCCATGCCTCAGCCACAGGTTTAGACAGCCGGGACGACATGAGAATCTAGTCTAGTTGAGCAAATTGAGGTCAGGCACTGCTGTTGTGCCCAACCCGGCCACATAACCCAGCCACCTCAATGACAGTCTAGCTCTCTTGGAGATTCAGGCCACATACGAGCCCAGCTGTGGAAGTCCCTGGCCTGGAAGGATGCGCCTTGCCTGGGATCTGTATCTCTGGCTGCGATATCTGCGCCCGCTCTGGCCCTGGTGCCAGGCCACCTGCCAAATTCAGGAGTTCTGGTCGTCACTTGCAAGCTGAGCCGCGACAAGGAACCTGCAAACAAGGATGCCGATGTTGGTGCTATGGTGGATGTTGCCGATGTTCGCAACTCCTGCAGAGCATAAACTTCAACGAGGCATCCGTCAAGGATCTGCGTTGCGGACAAATGCCTGGAAGCAGGTATTCTGCCGTCATCTCTCAACATGGTCTTTTTGTCTGCATTGCTTGTAAACAACTGGAACCTCAGTAATCAGGTTCGCTTTGTTTTGCTCCTTTTTGGTCGGTTTATGTGGATTCTCATTCCGATTCGGCATCTGCCATTTCCCTCATGTGCTAGATGGACATCACATGTTTCTGTAGTCGAAGACCTGTATATGGCATCCTTGAGGGGTGGCTTTCCCAACCTCATAGATAGAACGCATTTTTCGAAATCTGGATGGTTGAAAAATCGAGCTTTGTGGCTTTTGCAAAGATGCCCCCGTTTGGGAAGCTTCGACGGTCAGAAACCTGGAAAGTCCAGATAAAGAAGATGGCTTCCCGACCCCATGGATGAAATGTGGTTGGCGGTGGGGCGGGAGGGTGTACATGCCAAGCCAATAGATGCCTTTCAGACTGGGGGGGGGGGTGGTTTCAATTAAAGGTCAAGCATTTTGTCGTTTTTTGTATTGAATATTCTGCTCAGGCCTCTTCTGAACAATTGCTTAAACCCCTAAACCCTGCCCCCTGAATATCCCTCAATCCTAAACCCACAACCTCTCCGTCCAACCCCCTAGATAGAATATCCAGAAGCAGGATCTGGGGATTGGGGCAAGGCTACGGAAAATTACCGCCCTAAAGCTTATGCGCGTGAAACGAGTCAGCAAACGGTGTGACTTGGATGAACGGACGAGTGAGTGAGCAGGTGGGTAGACAGTGCGGGGTAGAATGGGGTCCTTGGGATGGATTCCCCTGCGACTTCCAGATTGGCCGAACCCATAGATAGAATATTCAGATTACATCTCTACTTTCGACCATTCCAAAGGCATACTCCGTCTATGGTTTGGGGAGAAGCAGAATAGAAGGGAGACAGCAAGTTAAGCAGGGGATGTATCAGTCCAGAGTTGCATGTTCTACAAATACCAGTACTTGCCTAGCGAATAATGCCAGAGTGTGCTGAGAGCCACGGCTCCGATCAAGTGGTGCCCAGCAACTCCAACCCTGACCTGGCTGGTAGTCTCTGTCGGAACAGTGGTGGAAGCTGTGGTGGTGGTTGGGATCGTACCTCTGTTTCAGACGTCAGCCGATTGTCAACATGCTCATGTGGTCAATCGAGCAGTGCTCGTCTCTGGGTGGCCCGCATCTCTCGGGGCAGACTAGACGCACATACGTGCCGCGAGGCAGGATATCCTCCTCCACCGAAAGATCATGGGCCTGACGCAGGCAAAGCACGTCACAACTCCCAACCAGGCGCGACTTAACCCTTCGTGGATTTCAGCTTGTCTCAACAGGCTCCATCGTATCTCTGGGGTGCAGGCGCAACCTCCGTCAAGCTTCAGCAAAGAAGGACACATCTTGCGATACCTGTCCTCAGAAGTCTGCTTCACACATGCCCTGCAGCCTTTAGTCGCCTCTTGCCATCTGGAAGCCATCAAGCTGCAAGCCAAGCGGCCACAACTTCACACTCTGCCGGACACACGTTTCGAACGAAAGTCTGGGGATCCAGACTTCGATCATCAATGGACAAGTCATAGTCCTTCAGCGCCGTCGTGCACTGTGAGGTGCGGAATCTCGCGTTTGTTTTATACAGTGTGGACAACCCCTACACTGGCCATGCATCGTCTTTGGGCTCGTGCAGCTGAGGGCCACGCACATGCCCCATGAAGCTTGAGCAAGGTGGGGCACGATGCTTTGTAGCTTGCCTTTGCTTGCTTGAGAACAGACCGCCGCACTGCACAACGCAACTGCCGACTTCTTCAGTGCAGGGAAGCTAGATTCCTCTGCATCCGCGCGTAACTTAAGCGACTGAATTGTGCAACGTGACCATGGCTTGATCCGAAGCTGTCTGCGTCCCCGTCTGATTGCCACCCGCATCCTCCGTTGCATTCGGCATCGCCTGCAGTTCAAGATATCGCATGTCGGCTATATAGTTCGAGGATGGCACATGAGAGGATGGCACATGACCAGAGAAACGCTGAGACACCTCTTCCACCACCTCTGCCGCTGCCGGCTGGGCCGCTGCTGCTGCTGCATCTACATTCATGGGTTCCGGCGAAGTCGCTACATCGGCAGCAGCGGTGTCGGGGGCTGTGGGTGTGGACCCGTCTGCAGGTTCCAAATGAGTCCCATGACCTTTGCTGCTCCAAACGGTCATGGAACGGAGTGCACAGACAATGTCCCCAAGCAGATGCAGTGCTGAGAAGTGGGTTCGAAGGGATGCACTGAACAAGCGCCGCACAAGCCCTGCACAGTCTGGGGCATCGGGCTGGCTGGCATGTCCATGGTCTTCATGGCAGCGCTGCTGCTCCCTCCCTCTTCAGTGCTTCTCCCCAAGGATGATCCGAGGAGCACGACAAGGCTTAGCAAAAGCAATGCTCCGACCAGAACCGGGCCGCGGTGGCGACTCCAGATGCTTCCGAAGCTGCTCGCCTGCACAGATCGTCCTTCCACATACATCGGTACGAGCTCTTCCGGCTTCTTTCCCTCCTCCATGCGGTCCACCTGCCACAATGCTCATAAGTTCATTAAGTTCACTACGTCTCTGCCATGTCTGCCAAGGAGGCTGTCCGCACCTCGTGCTTGGCTTCCCAGCTCGGAGCAGATGGCGTGGAGTGGGTTAGTGAGCCGAGCTGGCCCTGAATCATCTGGTCCACCATGGCTGCCGTGGCTCTGTCTAACCACTTCTGTCTGTAGGGATTCCGGGAGGGGAGGGCTGTCCTTTCGACGTTTTTCCTGTTCAGAGGTGGTGCTGCGATGTTAAAACATCCGATCTGCTTGGGCCAGGTCACGGGTCCCATGAAACACCCTTGCTACTCCAGGAAACTTCGCAGAGGCAGCTGTGACATCCTAAATTCCGTCCCGGCCCGCTCCCACGCTCTCTGCTGCTCTGGGCTCCAGGCTCAACGCTCACCTTCACAGGAAAACCGAAAACGTCTCTCAGTCGGTGGTACTTGAATTTCCGGGTGCCGCTCCTTCGAATTCTGCGACTGGCGGCGGCCACCTGCAGTGGTCAGTAGCGTAGGTTGGATTTCATTGGCAATGGGCAATGGGGCCAGTTGGCGCAGAGAGCCAAGGCAGTACCGTTTATTCATTACCGGGTTACCCCTTTCCGACGCTCTCGACACGTTCCGTGAGACTTCACTGCAACGTCGTTAGGAGGGGAGGTGGCCCTTTCGGAAGTGGTGAGGCATGGCCTGCTGCCACACCTTAGACATCTGCAGCGTTGCACTGGCGCGCAAGTTGCATGGTGGGGGGTCGAATACTTCGCCACAGCATCACTGAGGCAGTGAAGAGCCAGCGCCTGCCGGAAGCTGGATGGCGCAGAGGAGCAATTCAGATCGTGCTCTACATGGCATATCACCCTCGGAGAAAGACAGCGGCACAACCTGATCGAGGCATGAGGGAAGGGCCGAGCTCCCACCCAGCTTCACGAAGGACCTCGACTTTCCCAGAGCTCCGCCCACCATAGGAGGCACCGCCCAGTACCCAGAGCTCACCCGCAAAGGCGATTGCAGCGCACTCTCGCCGGATGATCTGCATAGGCGCCATGGTCTCCCAGTGTCCAAGCTGGGGCTGGAAGCGCTCTACGCTGGAAAGAGTCGTCCAGCCACCTGCGACGCCCCCGACCACCACGATGGCGCCAAGGACCACGGCAGCGGCACAGCCACTGCGGGCTTGCTGCATCGGTGGCTGCAAGGTCCAATCTGACCAATCTGAGAAATCTCCACAACTGACCAGGTCCAGGCTTCGGTAGCCACTATCCATACCGCCGAGAAGGTAGATGCTGCTGCCTATGGTGACTGCAGCATGCTTTCCTCGAGGGAAAGACAACGGCGGACGAGAACACCAAGAGTCCGAATTCACGTAGCTTTCCTGATGCCTCAACTCTTCACACGTGTCAAGAGCATCAACACCATCGAATCCTCCGAGAATGTACAGACTCCCCGAGATGCACAAGGCTGCCGCACTGTGCCGAGCACTCGCCAAGGATGGCGCACACTCCCACTCCAAGCTACGATAGAAGTCAAGCCTTTCCACAGAGGTGGTGGTGTGGCAATCGCTCGTTCTCCCGCCCAGGACGTACAAGTAGTGGCTCACTGCAATTGCCGAACCGTGTGTCCGGGCCAGGCACGGGCCTTTCGAAGTCTCCCAGGTGCAGGCGGCACCGCCCCTTGCATCACAGACCTCTGCCTTCGAGTACGGCTTCTGGCTCTCGCCACGTCCTCCATGACCACCCACAACAAATATCTTCTTGGGCATGGACTGCCTTACTGCAGGCAAGGCTGTCCATATGCTCTCTCTGATCTGTGGTGAAGTGAGGCTCAAATACCAGGCTGCCCATACTCCTCCAAAAAGGAGCACCCTCTCGCAGTTGTCAGGTAGGCAAAGCAGAGACGTCATCCCCGCTCTGCAATTTCTGCAACGCCTCCGCTCAGATGATCCAAGACAATGTGTACTTAATCGAGGGGGTCGTCGGTGGGTCCCTGGTGGGGGTGAGGGTTATGTTTTTCGGCCGCTCCCCAACCGACAATCTATGTTCAACTGAAAGGTCATTGTCCCTGTGCCCCTTGACAGCCTTGCAGTGCCACGAAGAACTACAGCGAAACCTCACACCAATCTTTTCAGGACCCAGGAGGTCCTATGGGGAGATACTGCGCCAAACCAATCCAACTCCAACTTCCGGCTGCTTACTGCAAGTCTGCAAGCTTCTGAGGCCAAAGTCCGCATGGCGAAGGTTATGATCGGGCAGCTGCAGTTTACCGTAGACTTAAACACACAAGCCCGGAAAGATCCGGAAAGCGCTTACGCAACAGGCATGGTTGCGCCAGGCAGATCGGGCAGACCGCGCCGGCTCTCAGCTAGCGATCTCTTCTGAGAGGACGCCGCTTGCTGAGATCTGCAAGCTGCGGGGCGGCATCGACATGGACCACAGCTCTTCCATGTTCATCACACCGCCGGGTACGCAAGGGTGTGTGACTTTGTTACAACTTGTTGTCAAGCTGTGTGCACGGGCTTGACTTGCCGTTACACATAGCAGGGATCAGTAGCGGCTTGTCATCACTGGCCCTAAGCCGAGAAGCTGCGAACATGGAGATTTGTGCGCCCCTCTTTTGCCTCAAAACCATCCCAAACTTCCCAGGAGGCGATGGCTGAGGCAGGAGCCTTCAAGGTTTCCAGCGCCTGGGCGGAGTATGGGTGACGGCAGCAGAAATGAGACTTTAGAGGTGGGTTCATGGAAGCCCTTTCTGTCCCATTCCTTTGCGCAGAGGCCTGAACATGTGCTTGCAGTCGTTTGCATGGCTCCTTGCCGATTTTGCCAAAGGATAAGCCGAGCGACTCTTGAATCGCTGCAGTTTCATTGAAGATGCACCGCCCTCCATTCCACGGAAGCCTGGGAAAGCAAGTCTGATGGAACGTATGAACCCACACAAACGTAGCTTTCCTCGTACGAGTGCCGCAGTGGTACTAATAGACGAGTGGCTGTTCGGCGAGTCTAGATCAGGCAGTCTGTCTGACGACGGCCGCTTCACAATACCTCAGCCAACACGAGTGTAGGAGGACTGCTGGCTGTCGTGGTTGAGGTGCAACAAGGCCAATCAGAAGCTCTCTGCAAATAGTCTTCGCACAACGTGGCGAAAGTCACTTGTTCGGATGCTTGCTGCCCAAAGAAAATTGGGACTGGAGGCCCGGACCATCGCCCCGATCGAATGCGATCACTGCCGAGGACTTTGCTCGCTTTTTGTTGCCTTGACGGCCATGTTCCATGCTCACCCTCATAAATCCGGCAAGGACAGTCAAGCAAGAATCCAGAAAGACACTGAGAGGCCGAGGCCTGAGTCAGATTCTTTCACCTGCCAGAGGTTTGTTTTGAAGCTTCCCACGCAAGTGCGATGTTGTCAACGAAACCGTAAACGCCTAGACATGCCTATGCAGTAGCTGGCCATCACCGTGGCGCTAAACGTGCTCCCGAACACGACCGGGTTCTTAAGTAGAGTGCAAGCTTACAAAGCCTTCCTTCTCCTGCCAAGCTCTTGCCTCCCTGTAACCGCGAGGAGGCTCGAATCTGAAACAGCAAACCAATGCAAGCAGCTGTCTCAGCTGCTGACATTGCGCGTCTGCAGTTCACTGCTTCCAGAGGCAGGCGGATTGCCAATGCTTCCACCAGGGACCACCTTGGCACAGCCATGGCGCCATGCCATGCTGCTGCTGATGCCGCACTCTTCTACTCCGCGTACTGCTAGGGGTGGAGTACTGCCGAGCATGTATTCATCCCAAGGTCCGGCGTTAACCAACGCCAAACATACAAAGTGTAATCGCTCGGCCACGAAAGTTCGAGCTGCCCCCTAGTTAGCTGAGATCCCGCACTGGAGTGAGATGATCTCTGGGACTCTGCGGCTGGAGCTTCCGAGGCAGTGGTGGCTTGCCTCACCAGACTCATGAAGACCGGTGACAGCAGAAGGCTGTGCTCCATAGTCATGTTGCATATGGCCCGCGGCGACTTGATCCCTCGGTCCCTGCCTGACCGTTCCATGTCAGGCTCCGTCACAGCCTTGAGCAGAACGGATAGAATCGGACAGCACCATCGAATCAGCCAAACAACACCCAGATCGACTGCAGTCTGATGGCCTTCTTCTTGCCAGCCGGCGGGCGGTCCACTAGCAAGGTCTCAGCCGAGCAGACCGGGTTCCATGGGCCAACGCTACGACATGCAGTGAAGGTAGTGTGGCAGGGCAGGATTGCGATTTTCTGCTGTTCTCCGGAGACATTTCCTGATCTTGGAACTTTCTGAGGCCGAACTCAACCTTTGCCAAGGCCAGGGCTTTCTGGTAGCGAGCCCGGTCCTCCTCACTGGCCGAGACAGCCAGCTGCAGGAAAGGCAGGTTCAACCTCGGGGTTTCGGAACTTCGCTCTAATCCCAACCGCCAGCCGCAAAAGCCTTCATGATGGCTTGTGAGCATATGCCTGCATGATGGCTAAAATCGGCTAAAACCTGTTTCACAACCGCCGCCCCATCCGGGAACCTTGCGCCTCCTTCGGCCCCATTCTTTGGGTCGGCTCCCTTACTGTCCTCGGCTCTCGATCTTGATTCAGGATGATCATCGAAGATCATCGAAGCAAGAGTTCGGCAAGGACCATGTCGGGTAGGTGCGTGGCAACTGCTTCACAACGTCCAACGCCTGAAAGCTTGGATGCATCTGCTCCACGCACTCCCGCTTCCGCAATGGTAAGGCCCAGGCAGCATGCTTCAACTCTCTTTCTTCGCCAAAGCAAGCATCCACCTGCGACGTCCGTAGCTGCCAAACCGCAACGCCAAATGGCTATATCAGGCTGTCCAGGTTTAACTCCTGCAGTGCACGGTGTCTCTGAGTCGCATCCAAAAACTCATAATATCATTGCCCGAACGGGTTCGGGTTTGGAATGCGGTCCTGTTAAATACGGGACCCGAAAGCACTGCAAGAGCCTTTTGGATGGCGGAAAGAAGCGCCATCTTCGTAGCAGTTGGGCTCTTGATGGCCTCCTTCATCTCCTGAGCATCTGCCACCGCGCACGGAGATACGCATGCAAGGCTGATGACTCGTGACGAGTCTGGCCAAGCTGCTGGAACGCTCATCTTGGGTTTTCCAACCTTGTTGATAAGCACATTTCGGCATGCAGCTTTGTGGAGACACTTCCTTGCACAAAGCCACGATCTGAGGTCCAAGCTAGGAGCGTTCCGTACATAACCATGAAAAACGTAACCCCCATGCTCCACATGTCGATCTGACAAGCGGGCCAGGTGAGGCGAAAACACCCAGGAAAACAGCCAAGCCCGCACCTTGAATTCATAGCCTTGCCGCATGACCATCTCCGGTGCCATGAAGGCTGGAGAGCCACAGACCTTTCAACATCTCCCGGCTCAGGCGCCAAACATACACGCAATGGCAGGCATCTACCATGGTCCAAGGGTGCTGCTGCATCCAGCTTCTCTCCTGCAATGTGTGGCAAGCCATGCAGTCGGCAACGCATGAGGTTGTAAGGCCAACGTGATGTCAGAGCCCTGGAATACAACCAAGAGTTCCCAAGAGCTAGGCGAGATCGGGAAGTGAGGAAGCCTTTCTGATGCAATGCGGCGGAAGCGATCCTTTTGCTAATGTTGGCGCTGCCTTGGTTTTCCTCACGTTGGTGCCTTTCCTTGCTCCATATGTTAATGCCACCTGGCCACTGACACAGAGCTGCTGGCAGATGCGAAATTCCATGTTTCGCCCTGCTCTAGATCAATTCCTTCCTCTGACGGCGGGAGCTAGGGGTCCGCTTCTGAAGAGCCAGAAGCGCCTTTCGAAGATGTGTGTCAAATTTTGCACATAAGTTGCTGGTGAATTAACTACTGGTACAGTACTCGTTGCAACCAGCAACACAGCACAGTAGTAGGGAAAGCAGCCCAACAACAGCTTCACTCCTGGCCGAAGATGGACGGACAAACCGAAATCTGCCAGCTTCAGCGTCCTCATGCGAGCAATGTGACTTGGCCCTCCTTGAAACCGAAGATAGCGCACCACGAAAATTGGCCTGTCATCCATCCCGCCATACAGAAAGTTTTGTACCTGAGCTTTAAGCTGGGCACTTCATGCTGATGATGCTGCTTAATATGTTTACTGGTTCAATCATTGATCAATTCAGACCGGGGTCATGGCCTTGATATCTCGATGGAGAACCCTGGCAGCCGAGTGGGCACTCTAGCACTGGCGTTGCACACTGCCTCACCATATGCACAGGATGCTTGAAACAGATGGAGGGGGCCTCTTGGCATGCATGTGGGAGAGTCCAAGCCTCAGGACAAAATCTGTAATACCATGCCAGTGAACGATAGCCCCTTCGGCTTTGCGAGTGCAGAAGTAGGGGTACATCTTTGGACTCTGTGGCTCGAGCAGTGCTTGCCTGAAGTCATGCCTAAGTTGGCGCAGCAGTTCCAATCGAAGCCACCAGGATGTCGCAAGCAAGACAGGAAGCGGTAGAGACACGAAGTGACAGATGTGACAATGCACTTTTTTTTGCCTACCCACTGAGGTGGCTACATCAGCTCTGCGGCTGTCCATTGAGGCGTATACATCACGCGATCGGACCTTTCAGTCCAAGCCAACAACTCTCGCAGCACACTCAAGACACAGGGGTACTATGCCATACTATGTATGCTCCGCCTCGAACCGAGATCTCTCCACGCCCACATTACCAAACATCACCACTCTCACTAAAGTCACTGGCAAAATTTTGTTCTTGACCTCTGCGGGACTGGTTCACAGTGACAAACCTGGGCTGGGCTCTTGGCAACGCTCGCGGGCAAACCTCCATCACGATAAAGTACACGTTGGCTTCCTGTCGCCTCAGTGGATATGGCAAGAATTGGTGAAAGGGAAAGCATGGTG